TAATAGTTCTAATAGAAGTAGTAACAAGAAAAACAACAACCCAAAAAGAAACATGATGATTATTATGTTTATATATATGAAGAAAATGTTAAAAAATAAAAAATGAAAAAAATAAAAAAATAATGTGACRATTATATGACTACGAGGAGAAGAAAAAGATGAAATAAGAAAAATAAATTTAATCCTGTTCTAAAAACCGTCAACCAGGACCCTAGTTTGGGCTTTTTCAGTGGGACCTCCAGCTGTCTAGGGATATTTAACCACATGTTTCCACTGTTAATGGTATGTCATCACAGGTCGTACACCCCATCGCAGGTGCCTGTAAATATTTCCATTCTCTCCCTTTGCCCGAACCTTTTGATGTGTAAAACGTCTGTGCGCTGTTATTACAAAGCCATTTCGGTGATATGGTTTAGTCGATCGGGGGTAGAGAGATCATTGCTTTTGGCTTTATCCAAGATCAATTATCAAAAGTAAATTTTGCATCAACGATAAAAAATGGATGTAAATGGGGATTGATTGAAAAACGAATATGGGATCCGAAGACATCACCTCAAGGATGAATCATAACTACAATACAAATTATAGAAGTAAAAATAAATAGAGAAAGCATTGCATAGGTCTTGGGCTCCAAATAAACCAGTCAGACGAAATTTCTACAAATATTTAGCAAATCAAATTAGGGGTTAGGAATTAACGTCTTAAGTGGACTGAGTAAAATGACGACGCGATGTAAAAGTTATATTTCACATTCGATTCATCTTTAATCACTTTGATTGGATTAGGCGATTACTATCAGAAGTAAATGTTTCAATCTTCTAATTCTTTATAATCTTTACTGCGATTCCCAGTCACAAGCGAACAACTCAGTGAGACCTAAATCACAAACGTAAAATTGAGTTTTGTTGAACGTCAAACAAAATAATTTTGATCGTTTCTATTGGTTTCTACACCAATCCTGTCGTGAATATTCGCGTAAACACGTGCAAACGTGCAAAAAACGTTGCCCTTATCTAATGCTTCTTATCGCTGTGAACTTTCAAAAATTACACAGGATTCAGGAACCAAATTTCAAACGCTTGACTGAAAAGCTATCCAGCTGTCCGAAAGACTACGCGCGAAAAGGATTGTTAGTAGAAATGGAGCGGCCCTCTCACCAGCCTCTCACTTTTAGACCGCGCGGTTCATCACATGAATTTTGAGTCCGCCATCTTGAAAATTTGCCTATATTAGTGAATAGTGGCAAATTTTTCACGCCTTTGTGTCTCCAAAGCCTCATCTGACTTAATTTACTTAAACACAAGTACTTCTGTTGATTGTAAGTGAAAGAAACATGAATAAATGATTATGACTCTAACGATCGTGAACTCGTCTTGGTTCTTCACTCGTAAAATAGAGTTTGTTTACATTTGATTTTATTTGCTATGTGTCGAGAAATATTCCAAATAGCAAGATTAAGTACTTAAAAAGGTTCTTGTGCTTTGGCTGAGTCATTCAGCGAGAAAATAGCAAGTCAGCACTCGTTCGAGCAGCACAGATCGCTGTTTCAACTCTACTCGATGGGAAGAACGACCTAGAGGCAGCTATAAACTTCTTTAGCGGGTTTTTCTCGAATTTTCAGTTACTTATGGGCCAAAGACAAGGCAAAGAAGAATAAAAACACGAAACTCCTGTGAACCTTCTCGCATTCGTGAATGCCAGAATCATCGAACGCTACTCGCAAGCCATTCAATCGTCTTTTATTCACCTTTGCAGGTAAATAAGCAGTGAAAGTCTATGTAATAATATGAAAAATATTCCAGTGTGTTGTAAACTCTATTTTCTATCATAAATCCGTGAAATCCGTCAGAAATCCCTTCCGGGCTTCGTCGAACCGCGTGAGAACGAGGGCCGCTCGAATGAAATTCAAAACGCACAGTGATTGTCCAGTTCGCGGGGTCTCCGGATAGCTGGATCGGTATGACTATGATTTGAGTGTCTTCAAGATCAGGTAATTCAATACCGATAGCTTTTCCAGTCAAGCGTTTGAAATTCGGAGTCGTAATCCATAGACATTTTTAATAAACTTTTTTGATTGACGTCTACCAAAATTCTATTTTTCGTTTGTGATTTAGGTTTCAATTGGTCGCGTGCGCACTGGGTATCGCAGTAATTCAGTCCTTAAGATATATTGTTTTATTTTTTTCGCGGGTCGCACTTCAGCGATGATAATAGTAAAATAAATTTTGATTTTGTAAACCTTTCGAATTCCCGATCAGGGGTAGTTTGATTTTGTGATAGTGAAAGAAATATTAGGAACCTGTCACTTATCCCTATAGAGCGTTTTCACGTGACGTCACAGCGGCCATTATGGGGTACCAAAACAATACATCTTCTATCCTCCGGGAATTAAACTCTATTTTTATGCAAATACTGTGCAGAAAGTTTTTATTGTTTATGGCTGCCTTCTCACGTGATCGAGTGAAAACGCTCTATAGCAGCTCTGTCCCTATACCAAGAAGGTGTGCCAAGCATTTCAAAAATCATTAGCCAAACCTTTTAAAGTGAACACAATTTGTTTGGAAAAGTGAGATTTCAAGATATGAAAAGTAAAAAAACAAAAACAAAAAAAAACAAAAAAAACAACAACAACACACACAAACACACA